AGTGGGCAGGGGAGGGTTGGCTTCTGCTGGGGAACTGCCGAGGTGCCACCTCCTTACGTGTGAGTTCAGAGACACAAACTGCTCCTGCCCAAGCTGCAGCTCTGGCAGTGCTCTTTGGGTACCACAGGCTGCAGTTATTGCATGGGTTGCAGAGGACAGATTATTGTGCAGAGTGTTTAGAACTTGGTGCTTACTGACTATTGCCTTGGGAACTTGAGCCCATTCTGTTGTGCCTCACTGTTCTTTCTGGGGGGTTTACAATGAAACTTCATAAGAAGATTGTTTCTTTTTTGTTCTGAGAGGTTTTTTTAAGTAACTCCTTCGTTTCTTACAGAACATAGGACAGAAGCTGTTCTAATGCATTTGCTTTTTAAATCCTTTCTACCTGTTCTTTCACTTCTGTACATTGATTTTGCTCCTGTTTTCCACATCCTCTCACAGCTCAGGCCTGTGTTAAATATCTCAGGCATCAACTCCTTCCTGCCATTGCTACTCTTTTACTCAGTCCACATTTGGCTTGTTCAGTCTCTAAGGAGGAATGGTTTCACATCTTTGCAGAGGCTGTTGGTAATGTAGCAATGGTAAAACAGCAGGTATTGACTCTGTTCATCACAGGGAGAGAGCCTTTGGGAACTGAGAGCGAGGAGCAGTTTGCAGCCTCCTGTGTCACACCTTTCATTGCAGTGGGCAGCTCAGTAATGAACAGAATAAGGCTTCACTGGTTGCTCCTTCCCTGACATTGTCTGGAATTTTCTTGGCTGTTACTATGTTTCAGGAGTGTATCAGATCTTGGCAGAGGTGCCCAGTGTTTTTTGTTATGTTCAAATCAGCAGTCAGTGCAAGAGAAATAATTCAGAATTTAAATAATTGATGCTTATGTCTTGTGATTTTCTTAACCTGTTGAAGAAGTGATGCAGTTGTGCTTGTCCATGTGCCAGGAAGGAGGCATTTCTTCCTCAGCTGTGATGGTTCTGGAGCACCACTGCCTCATCTGGGAAATGGCAGCTCAGGACATAATTCCTGAGCCTCAGTTCTGGTTTGGCTCCCAGGATCAGGGCTGCCCGCATGTTCCCTGCTTCTGTCCCGGGAGAGCGAGGGGTGACACCGGGAGCCTCCCCTGTGCTCAGAGCTGGCTCTGACACCCGAGGGCAGTAATTGGGTCATAAAATGAAAGTTGAGAGGGAAGGCACCAGGGAAACTGTAATTGACACTGTTGGATTGAGCTGCCTGGAGGAAAAGTCAGCGTTTGTTTACTCTGGTGGGAAGGAATAATTGGAGATGTTTTTTAGGAAATAATCCACCTGTATAGTTTGTTCTACCTGCACTTGGAGATTTGGAATAGGAAAACCACCTCATTCCCCCTCAATTTTTTTCCGTGGTTTTTTTCCTGTGGTTACAGTGCAACGTTTTTGATTAAGAAAATATCAGTGAAAATAACATAGCCAGGTTGCAGAGATCCCCTGCAAAAGTGTAGTCAGTTGCCATTATTAGCAAATGAAAAATGGAATTTTAGTTATGCTTGGGAGGTGCTGCTGAAAATATTTTGCTCAAGAAAGAAGAGAGATGACAGTGGCAAGTGGAAGAATTTCTGAAAGTTTATGTAAATGAAAAGAGTTTTACTGCAGTACAGAAAGAAAGAAAGTTTGCTGAAACTTGCCAGCTAAGAATTTTAGGAATCATATCATCAAATGATAGAGGAATATCATAAAAATATCACTGTAGCTTTATTCATGAGAGTGAGATCAGGGAGTTGATGAGCCTTAGGTGTAGAGATATCTGTGATGGCTAATTAATACTTTAAGGTTTTAGCCATGTGCAGTTAAATGTGCTTTAAATTAATAAAATTGTGCTTTGCTGCTAGCTTTTTAGTTTTTTAAAAATAATTAACAGGACTTGGATGAACTTTGAAATGCTCTTTGGTTTTTTGGGTCCTTCTCATTTTTACTTTGGTAAAAGTATGGTTCAGAAGAGTTTTCTCTCCAGGTGAGACAAGTGATTTCCCGTAGCTCTCTGGGAAGGCAGCAGTGTTTTCTGCTCTCACCGTTCTCCCGTTGCTGTGTGCAGCTCTAATGGATTTGTGCTGGGAAATGTGATGCTGTCTGAGCCTGCCAGTCTGGACCACTCCTGGAGCAGTCTCCCAGGACTTGGCAGCAATGGTGCATCACCTCTCAAGTGAGGGGTTTGAGTGCTACATCAGGGAAATTGGCTTAATTTGTGCTTGATTTTCCATTTCTGTTCTACCAGGGTGGCTGCTGAGCGCTCAGTGGAGCTGAGAATGTCCTCTGCAGAGGCTGGGATTTGGCTTTGCCAGGTGGGTTTATCCCATCTTGCACGGTGCCTTTGGCTGTCAGGATCAGCAGGTTGAAGCCAGCTGCCTGTCCCCAAGGGCTGGGTTCCCTCACCCTCTCCTCTCTCTCTCCCACCAAACCCCAGCTGGCACACGTGTACCACGTGTGTTCCCATGAGCATCCTTCACAACCACTCTCATCACATTCGGTCTTACCAGGGCTGCAGTGATTTGAAAAGTTTGGAAATAGCATGGCTGTAATATATTTAGAATGAATGTCAAGACAGGCTCTGAACCTGAGCAGGTTTTTCCCACCTGGATAATAATTTAGGCACATAGCTGTGTGCTGAAGCATGGCATAGGATGGTTGTGGTCTGGGAAAGGTGTGAACTCTGGTTTACTTTAAGGCATTAACAATCCAGTTAAATTTACTGTAGGGATCATGTCTGCCTGCTCTGAAATGAAGCAATATCTGGGTTGGAATGTGGCATCTCTTTAAACAGTGCCCAGAAATAGTACGCAACAGTTTTCAGGTCAGGAAGCTGGGAACATCCTGATCACCTCAAGATGCCAAGGGAGCTGTAGGTGGGTGGAGTGTTATTACCCAGCCTGGTGTCTGGCCAGGGAGCCAAAGCACCTCTGGGAGCTCTGTACCCGCAGCACTCCGGGCTCAGCTCCACAGCCCCGGATCTGGGGGCCCTTTGAGCCTGTTCTCTTCACATCTTGTCACTGTCTCTGTCCAGTGCTTCAGTTTGGATGAGCCGTGGCTCTGTGCTCTGTGAGTGTCGGTGGTTCCCAGGCCAAGGCCATGGTGTTTTCACCCGGGAGTGTTCCATGGGAACCCCTTTGGATCGTTCCCAATGTTATGAAATTTTCAGGCGCTTTTCAGGAGTTTGTTGTGTGCTGTTGGTGATCTGTTGTAGCAGTGCATTGGTCCAGGTTAGGAAACGGGCAGGAAAGGTCCAGGAGCAGGGCTGCTGGGAGAGCTGTCCCCATGATGTTGGTGTTAGGAGCCAGCAGATAAGCACAGGATTGCAGCATGGCAGCAGGAGAGCCTTTCCTTGGGAGTGTCTGCACACATTTGGGGGGTTCAATAGCATTTTGCACGTAGCTAAATGGCCCTGTGAGACCTGCCCATTCCTGCAGATCCTTCACCTTGTTTGTGTAACCTTTTAGTCAAAAGTCCTGACTAACCTGTTGTACCTCTGCTGTTTTCTAACTTGTGACTTCTATTCAGGCTGGAATAAAGCTAAGTGGAGTTGAGCTGCCTGTTGTAGCTGTGTGCTCAGCTATTACCCAACTGCAGTGTCTGTTTTACCTTGTGGTGAATCCTGCATTTCACCACTCTTAGAGGTCAGCTTAAAGAAAGGGTGCATGGCTGAGGTGATATTTACTTTATTCCAGAGCTGAAATGAGCAAGTCTCTAACAGCTGAGCTGTTAACTATTGTCACTTTCCCTTCTGGAAAACAACAAGCTTCAGTGTTTGAAATGAACATCAATACAACAGTTTACTCATACTTTGGTGTGGTTCCAAGTAAAGCTGAGGTGCCTGTACACAATTCTGAGGCTCAGCTAAACGTTCTGGTTTGCACCAAAGTGTCAAGGGGTGCTTCTCTTTTCTCTGCTATTTTGGAGACTGAGGGCATTTAGGGCACTGCAACTTTATCCCAGGCTTTTCTTCCTGGCTTGCAGCTTGGATAGGCACCAAATTGCAGCCTGATTTTCACATGCATTTGGCTTGGGAGTGTCACCTTGTCACCTCAGTCCCCTTCGATGAACATTGTGAGGTGTTTGGCACAAGTTAGAATTTCCAAGTAGTTCTGTTGGTTTTTAAAGCTTTTTCAGTCACTGACTACTGATTACACTTAATGAAGTGTTTCCTTGTTTATTCCCTTTGCCTTTTCTCTGAGGTCTTGGCTGTTGTTGGGGTTCAGTGGTGGCCAGGTTTCATTGCAGTGTCTGTGCAGGTGAGGGGTCCCTCACACACACTCAGGGAAAGCTCAGTGCACAGAACACCTGCCCTACCTGCTGTGTGTGAGCCTGGTGCTGCTTTCCCACAGGATCAGAGCATGGATGAGAGAGGTGCTCGGACAGATTTGGGTTTCCTGAACAGACAGGGGGTATTTATGTCTCTGCCAAAACACTGAGGCGTGATTACCTTTCATTTCAAGAGAGCTCCTTGGAAAATAGGGCAGTGTCTGACTTTCTCCTCTTCCAATAAATGTGCTAAACCAATCCAGCAGGTGGAGCAGGGGATGCTGAAACTTTGTAAAATTGTTCTGGAGTGTTAAAGGCTAATTAAGAAATTTTGGGAAAGATTTGTTTACTTGGGCTTTGCGGTAGGACTATAACAAAGCATCTGAACCCTGCCCCAGCCCTGCTCACACGTGCTTGTCCTGCTGCCCACCCAGAGGCCACATTCCAGGTGGGACAGGAGCAGCACTGAGGGAGCAGTGGCATTTGAGGGGTCACTTCTGGTTGGGAGAGTCTGAGTCAAGCTCTAGCTGGGTGAGCATGTGCACCCTGTGCCTTTGGTGTGCAGAACACATGACTCTGTCTGGGGATCAGATGGGAGCAGCAGCTGGTGGTGTGAGACTGATGCACAGCTGAACAGTGCCTTGGGTGCCTCTGTGCATTTTAGTGACAGAGACTTGTTTTTGTTGCCTTTTTCCCAACCTGGAAATGAAACTCGAGATAATTTTAGTAAGGAGGTAATATAAAAGGGGATCTTTAATGAAGGCCTTCAGGAGCAGTTATGGGAAGATGTCTCCAAATGCCCACCCCCGGGGGTGAGAACACATTTGTAGGTTTTATATGAAATTAGCATGATTGATGAAAAGCACCAATTAGGAGGACAAGTGGTGATGCAAGCCCCTTCTCTGGAGCACCCCACCTTGGTTTGGTGCACTTTGTCCATGAAATGTATCTCCAAGAGTTGTTCTCGGCCTTGGTTCCCAGGAAGAACCAAGATAGCGTTGGGACCTTGTACCTCCCAGGGCTTGGAGCTCTGGAGTTTGTCTTTCTGCCTAGGGAAAGGCCGTGGAAAAGTACTGGGAAAACAAGGAAATACAATTGGTGATGGAGTTACAAATAGATATGTGAAGAATACAGAGAACATATAAAAGAAATAAGCAAGCAAAACCCAAACAGCATCAATATAATGAGAAATGGGAAGAAAAGGCAGTGGAAAAGGTTCCTGTGGTTCATGAGATGCCTTTGCTGGAAGCAGGAAGCCTCAAAGTGAGAATGCCTAAATTTTAGGGCTGTGGAGGCTTGCAAGAGAAAATTCTTTTCACATACAGAGCTGCCTGGGACTCAGGGGTTTCCAGTTCCACTGTAAGCTACAAGCATATTTTGCTGGTTCAGCTTCTTTAAGGCTGTTTCTAACATACCTTAACTCATACCATGAGTTAAGCTGCAAGAAGAGATGGAGCAATAGGTGTACGTTTTCTTCAGAGTGATTGTTACTGGAGTGACTGTACTGAAGCAGGAGGTGGGGAGTACTTGGGATTTGCCAGTATTAAGGGGAAAATGTTAATTCCCTAAGAACAGTGCATGCTACCAGGTATTTATTTCTAGTATTTGCTAGGAAGAAGATCAATAGTCAATGTTCTGTAATGAAAAATTTACTCACTGTTTTTACTTAAAAGTGGCAAAACCACAGTGTCCTTGGTGCTTTCTGTGTTGTTCTGTAGCATCCAGCACAGCAGGATGTGTCCATTCTGTGGGGATCACAAAACATCATCCTTTGTAGTAGAAACAGAATTCTTACAATGTTCTCATATAAAATATGAATTTTAATATTAAACTTAATGCTCTGCTATGAGAAATATGTAAACTTGGCTCTGCAGTGTCAGCATGCACTTCCTGGAATTCCAGGCATAGCATGGTTATAAATAGGCAGCAGGTTATTTGGGAATCACTGGGGCTGGTATCTGGTGTCACAAACAGTAGCTGGGAGAAGCCGCCTTCCCTGGTCCATGGTTGGGTTTGGAAGAACACAACTGCTTGATGTTGAAAATTGCTGTCTGAGTGAATCCCAAGTGTCCCTCGAGCACAGGGCCCAGCTCTGACAGCAAACACCCGTCTGCCACGGGCATCCTTTGGCCTCAGCTGCTGCCAGTGTTTCCATGCTTTGCCTGTTGTGGGGAACGTTCCCAGGCTAGAGCCAAATGCTGCAATTCTCCCTCTCTGGCTGAGCTGCTCCCACCATGGGTAAGTGTAGGAGGCTTGTGTCTGTCCCCCTTCAACAGGAAACCACCTGGGCCTTCTCAGTGCTTTGGGGGGGTTCTGGGTTGGTTTTGGTGGTTTCCCCCAGAAATGGAATTCTCACAGAATTGTGCCAGCAGCACCACATGTGCCGTGGGCTCAGGAACCTCTTTGGAGAGTCTCGGGAAGTGCTGTGCTGAGATAAATTAATTAGAACAACAAAAAATGGGAAACAATAAGAGGGTCAAAACCAGTGATTCCTAAAATAATGGTACTCGACCATCTTTATTTTTGTCTCATTGTGACTAGATTGATAATTATTATTGTTTGCTTTTCTGATGTAAGTTTACTTTCTGTATGACAGACCAGAGACGACTTCCTGGGCCAGGTGGATGTGCCGCTCAGTCACCTCCCGGTAAGCAGCACATCTCTGAAAACCCCTGGGGCTATGGGCACCTGGTTGCACACACCACTTACATTCTCCTAAAGCTCCCAGCAGAGCTTAAAGGAAACTGGTTTGGACATCCAGGCCTCACCTGCACTGGGACAGGGAGGTGCATCAGCTGTGCATGGCAGGGATGGCAAAAAAGCATCATGAGAGTGGATCTGCTTCAGCAAATGCATGAAACGCCAAAAGGCTGCCAGAACTATGTCATCTGTTCATTATTTTAGCTGAAATTGAATTCTTTGCCAGCAGTAAGAGTTCAATAGCAATCAATTGTGAAAGTAAGCAACGCGGGGTTTGAATCATTTTATTGTCAACAGACTTTTGAGGTGTTTGGTTTGACAGTGCTAATGTTTGTTTCTGTTTCTTAATTAATGGAGGAATTCAGTGTAAAGCTGGTGCTGTAATTCTGTAAGGCTCCAGTTGTCTGGTTTCCCCCCAGCAGCCAGGATTCTGCATGGGCTGCAAAACTAGATGCTAAATTAAGTGCAATTTATGTTTATATATTTATAAATAGGAATAAATGTATATGTGTATGTATATATGTACCAAGGCTTTAGCCTTAGTACACACATTTCTGATATTATATACTGTTTTGGATGACTAACATTGGCTGAATGTAATTAATATTTTTTAAAAGTTATGCATGTTAATCTTAACATTTGTGGCCTTGCAGGGCTTTTTATGTGTGGATGGGTGAAGTTATTGCAGTGTTTACATCAAAATGAGGTGTCAGTTGAGCCTAACTGGCTTTTTGTGTCTGATTTTGACTTCTTGCTATTGATGGATGTTATTGTAGGACAAAAGTGGCTTTGTAATGACTTGCACAGTGATGTTTGTTTAGATGTGTCTGTTCTGGTTGATTTGGAGTCTGTAGGCAGTGTGTTGGGTTATAAACTGTAGCAGTGGAAAGCTACAGGGGAAGGGTGGGGAGCACCTTGTGGTGCCAAATGTATTGTTCCCTTCTCATGGGAGCTCTTGTCATCCCAGCTGTGCTCTCAGGACTGCTTGGTCCGGGCCTGTGAGGATATCTACATTTATGTATCCTTACGCACAGACATGGTCTAAGCAGCCCTGGTGGAACAGTGGGAAGAGTCCTTTTCCCCTCAGATGTTTTCAATGGCAAAGCTGCTGTGTCTCAGAGCAGTCCTTCCTTCAGTAGCTGTGGCCTTGCAGAAGCTTCCCAGGCACTTCCCCACCTGCTGCTGCCCCGCTCCAGGGAGAGAGTCACCTGTTGGGAAGGTGTGTGTGCACACTGGCTCATCCTTCCCTGCCTCAGTAGGAGCCATTGCCATGCATTTATTAACAAATTCATATTCAGCTGTCTCATCCTGCCGATCGGTTTGGCAGAATCCTTGTTTCTCCAATACCAGCTAATTACTATTGACAGAATTTGGGTAAAACATACAGCTCCTCACTGGGAGCGTATCCCTTGCAGCTGAGTGCTGAACAGCAGCGCTGAATCGTGCATGCCCTGGTGTCCTGGTGAGCTTGTTAAAATCTCTGAGCAAAACAGGCAGCCTGTCTCTCCCAGAGCAAGTGGGCACTGGCAGGGGCAGAGGTCAGGCAGTGAAAGGAGAGGCTGCCAAGTATAACACAGTTCATGCTTCAAGTTTAGAATAAAGTTCCCCAGACAATCAGCAGGGGATTGGATGGGTGTGTGTGGATCCATCATCCTTTTCCCTTGGCATCTGAAACTCCTGGTTCTGTACCTACAGCAGCTGTGTCTTTGCACGTGTGAAGGATGGGATTTACTTGGTAAGAAAGCTGAAATTCTCAAGAAATAGAAAGTTCCAGGCTTTAGGTAACAGGATTCAGCGGAAATCAGAGATGTAATCTGTCAGCCTGTTGTGTGAATGTTCTTTATGCGGTTGGACTTGTGGACAAGCCCTTTAATTTGCAATTTTCTCTGCTGCTTGCAGACTGAAGACCCAACTATGGAGAGGCCATACACATTTAAGGATTTCCTCCTCAGACCAAGAAGGTGAGAGAAAGGACCTTTAAAACTTTTGAAGACTTTAAAGCATTTCTTATTTCATGATTTTTTTATTTGCAATTATTTAGGAGTTGTTAAATGCAATGTACCTCCTTGTCTTGTAGCCACAAATCTCGTGTGAAGGGTTTCTTGAGACTGAAGATGGCGTATATGCCCAAAAATGGTGGCCAAGAGGAAGAAAACAGTGATCAGAGGGATGACTCTGAGGTGAGGCTGAATCCTTGTGAAAGGATTCAAGAAAAATTGTAGTCAGCTGCACTCGAAGGATAAAGCCCCAGAATCAAAGTTGGCTGTTGGTTCTCTGTGGCTCCAAGCCACCAGCAGAACACCCGGCCACCTTTGGAAATCCCTCTTTAATAGACTGATGGGGATTTAGCTCTTTTCTCATTGAGATGAGGTGCACACTCTAACCATGGAGGTCTTTTCCTTCATTCCTAAGCATGGCTGGGACGTGGTGGATTCCAGCGACGCCGCGTCTCAACGTCAGGAGGAGTTGCCACCTCCTCCACTGCCTCCTGGGTGGGAAGAGAAGGTGGACAACCTGGGGCGGACTTACTACGTGAATCACAACAACAGGACCACCCAGTGGCACCGACCCAGCCTCATGTAAGCAGCTGTGGGCTGTGTGGGATGGACAAGCAGGCTGAGGCTGAAAGGAAAACGTGCTTTGTTCATGGCCCAGCAGATCACAGAAGCACAGAACGTTCTGGGAAATTCCAGGAAGTCTGGGATGGCAGGGAAGGCAGTGTGTTAACAATGCACCTTAGAATAGGAATAAAATAACGAATAAAGAATAATAAGCTAAGGAATAGGATAATAAGATAAGGAATTTTTCAGTAAGTAATTTAACAGGAATAAATTACTTTGTTTATAGAGACTGTTGAAGAGGTAAGGAAAAAAGTCAACTCTATTAAGTTTTAATGAAGTTGAACAGATTAGCTTTGAGGAGATCCTGGCTATTATTCTGTGAATAGGCTTCATTCCCTGAATGTGCTATCAGAGAGGTCTGCAAGCCGTGGCGGTATCTTCTCAACATTAGATTTAGAAAGCTGTGGCGAGCTTATATTTTACAGAGTGTGAATAACTGACAGTGTTACGAGTTATACTGAGATCATGAATGAAGCCAGCACTGCCAAAGGCACCGCTAAGCCATGTCCAAGAAGGGCTGGATCCCCCAGCACTGGACACATTCAAGGCTGGGCTTCACAGAGTGCTGGGTCATCTTGTCTGGGCCGTGGTTTCCCTGCCTGGAGAGGCTGAACCAGATGACCCCAAGGTCCTTCCCAACCTGATGTTCTGTGAAGTGCTTCCAGTTTTATTTTCTTTCAACTGAGGGATTAAACAGTCTTCTAATTATGAAGCTTGATACATGCATGAATAATGATTTTTGTAATCAAAAGCATTACCTGAGTTTCGAAGGGAATGGACAAAACAGGGGCTTAGTCTAACTGGGCTTATTTTCTTGTTCTTTTCTCCTTTCCATGCCGGATTCCCCGCTGCAGCGATGTGGGGTCCGAGTCAGATAACAACATCAGGCAGATAAACCAAGAGGCAGCTCACCGGCGCTTCCGCTCTCGGCGCCACATCAGCGAGGATTTGGAGCCAGAGCCTATGGAGAGTGGAGACATTCCTGAGGTATGCCCAAGCCTCGGCCTTAAGGAGCTGACTAAACTTGGAGCTGCTGTATTTCTCACATGTGGCTAATTACCACACAGCACAGAGAGCCGTGGTTTTACCTGGCACTTGTGGAAATTGCCTTGGGAAAATGCTGGCAGCACAGTGACAATGCAGCCAGGGTCCCATGCAGCTGCAGCTCCCTGGTGGCCTCTGGGCAGCACCAAGTCCTGTGTAAATGCTGGGAGAAACATTTATCATTCCAAACTTCTTGTCATATATACATTGATAGAAACACTTCTTATTGTGCTCTGAGCAGCAGTGGAATAAATGATAAAAAGAAGGGAAGTGGACTGGCTGGATCTGCCCTGTGATTCAATTTTCTGTAGTGCCTTGATTTAGGGTGAAGAGAAGCTGCTGTTTGTGTGTCAGGCACAGTGAGATGATCACACAGAAGGCAAAGAAGACTTGGTCTGTATAAAACCTGAATTTAGTTTCTTCTCTTTTGTTAGCCTTGGGAAACCATTTCAGAGGAGGCAAGTGCCAGTGGGGATTCCTTAAGCTTGTCACTGCCACCTCCTCCTGCATCTCCAGTGTCCCGGACCAGTCCTCAGGAGCTGTCTGAGGAGCTGAGCAGAAGACTCCAGGTCACTCCTGATTCCAATGGGGAACAACTCGGCTCTTTGATTGTACGTAATGCGTGGTCTGTAAACCTCTAGTGCAGAAATGTGCTCTTCTTTGGCATAACCCGAATCACTTCACGCCTGGGGAGCGATTACTGGGCTCAGGAAAGCTTGAGCATCCTGTTAAAATTCCTTTCCAAAAAGTGCATCACAGCTTCACCATCAAGCAAACTGCCTCAGACAACAGAATTCCTGAGTTCAGATCTCAAGAGTTCTGTGTGAGTTTAACTTCAGACTCTGCTACTATTAGACCTTTAGTGAAACAAAATATATGGGAGTAGAGATATCAAACTAGGAATTTGCAAAGGAAAAACAAAAAAATGGTCTCTGTATTTGTGTTATCCATTAGTCAGATACCATAAAAAAATCAGGATAATACACATACCAGTGGGGGAATGTTTTATGTCTCTTTGATTACAAAAATAATTGTAAATAGTAAACAGAACATCGTGCTCTTATTTATTTTTTACTCTTAGTATGATGCTACCAAGGTACCTCTGCAGTTCAAGAGATAAGAAATACTCTTGTTCTCATCAAACAGGATCTTGATTAGGTGCATTTTTCCCAAAGAGGCAGTGCAGTTGCTCTCTGACTGATGGGAATGTCACCTGGAGGTTGTTCAGCAAGTGACAGCTCTGATGCTCTGCTGGGTCTGAATGCAGAGGCACTTGGGCTTGTGTTGAGAACTGCAATTTTAGTAGCCCCCTGGCCCAGTTTTACTGCAGCTGTGTCAGTGCTGTGTTTTCCTAAACACTTCTCAGCCCTGCAGTGCCCAGCTGCACTGGTGGGGATGAATTACATTGCAGTGTCAGACATGGTGTGTGTCTGCTTCTGCAGGGGGGTTTTGTTTCTAGCTCACTATCGTGAAGGATGTTAATAACTATTTTAAAAGTTAGCAGCAAAGAGGAAAATCAAAACTGATTTGTTTTTTATAAGAAATAGCATAAATTTTGAAGTAAATGAATTTTTAAGACTTTGAGCTCTCATCCATAGTATCTGATTTTGGATTTATTTCTTAATGCCTTTATTTTTTTTCAGTAATTCATGAGTTTGTTCATGTTGGCATTTCTCTTTTAGGAAAATGGATGGGCCCTTTTTTTTTGTAGTATATAGGAAGTAGAGAAATGGGATATACCACTTTGAGACATCTTTTATTTTTTTCTTGCAGCAAAGAGAACCTTCTTCACGACTGAGGTCCTGCAGTGTGACAGACACAGTCGCTGAACAGTCCCAGCTATCCCTGGTAAGCCAGAGCTCCCTTCTGGTCCTTCCTTTTTGTGTGGACATTCTCTGATTCTGCACCTTAACACCTTGCCTTGGGTCAGCTCTAGTCAGGCACAGATCAGTGACCAGGGTAGGCATCTGATTGTCCCAAACAGTAACGGAGACCAAGTTCATGTGAGCTAAAAAAGGACATTGGTGAGACAGGAAAATGTTTGGAGATTGAGCAAGTCACCCCCTCCTCAGTTGTTTACCATGGAAATTTAGGTTCCTGCAGTCCTATGTGCAGTCAGTGGAGAAACTCCTCCAAGGGGTGTTCCTGGCTGGGGGAGGAGAGGGCAGGAGAACCAGCTCTACCTGGAACTGGAGCGGCCACAGGACTCTCATAGCAAAAGTATTTCTGTGGCCCATAAGTTGATTTTACTTACAATATAGAAATCTGTCTAAAACCCCAAAAGATTGGTGTTTTGCCTGATTGCAGTGAAAAGGAAGCAACTTCTGCAGGTTTATTTAAGAAAATTGTTCAAACAGGGAAAGATACAAAGATGTTTTGTAAACAAAGATTCTCTCTCCCATCAGAATCATGCATGCTCTGCTCCAGCTGACAGAAAGTGGTCCTCTCCTACAGCCCATGTGCAAGGGCTGCAGAGGTGGCAGGTTTGTTCTCTCTGCCACCTCTCAGCTGTAGGTAAAGAGACACCACTTAAAATAGGAGTGTGCAGGGTGTGCTTTTGAATAAAACTGGTCAGATTGCAAAAGAATATTTCAAAAGATTATGCTTTTCTTCCAAGAGTTTATCTTTTTTTCATTTTTAAAAAGTTCTAAGTATGTCCCATGTGAATCTGCAATACCAAGAAGTTTGTTACCCAAGCTGCTGTCTCTGTGTTGCTTGTTCCCTCTGCTGCTCTTGGGCAAACATTTCCAGAAAGCACAGAGGTTTTCTCTAGGCTGGACTCTTCCCGTGCTGTAGCAGTTACTGAGTGTAGCTGAGGCATGTCCCTGGCTCTGGGGGTGAGCACTGGGGTGGGTTGCAGTTCTCTCTGTGCCTGACTGCAGGGGGAACGAGGCTGCTGTGCTGCTTTTTTGCTGCCTTTAGCACTGCTGGAGCCGGGGGCTGGCACCTGGGGCTGGGCACAGCCTTCCTCCTGCTGCTGCTTCAGGGACACTCCTCATCTCCTGAGTGTTCAAATCTGAGCACTGAGAGCATTGCCCTAAAGCATCATCTTACCTGATCTTAACCACATTTCATCCTTCCTGAGCTAATGATCATTTCTGGCAGCACAGTACATGTTCTTCCTAAATCCAGTGCTCCTCTGGGGTTCTGGCTTGGTTACCAGCCACTGATGCCTTTCAGATTTGCTGTTATCCATCTAACTGCTCTCTCTCAGTAAATGTGTCTGATGCCTTGCTCCTAAAGATGTGACAGTAACCTGTGACCTTCTTCAGTGAATATGTGTAACGTTAATTATCATTTAACAGCAGAATGGTCCCTCTAGGAGAGCTCGTTCTTCAACTGTCACAGGGGGAGAGGAGCCAACGGTAATAAAACTCTTATCATCTAACTCTGTCACTATCTCTAACTAAGATGGGGGGACATTTAGGTCTTGTACAATGAGGTGCAATGTACTTTTTTTAAAAAAAAAGAAAAGAAAAAGCAGCAATGTGTTGAGTGAAATGCAGGTATTGAATGAAAACTTCTATATTTTTGTCTCCAATTTTCTCAAAATACTGCAGTTGCATGCAAATGCTGGCATGGTTTAGGGACACGGATGTGACATTGAATTATGATGAAGCTGTTCACTAAGGAGCTGCCATGGGCTCCTGAAAAATGAAAGCTACAACAGCTAATTCTTTAAAAAGGGACGCTGGAAGCAGCGGTGATTACAGACATCCAATCATTGTATGTGTATCTGTGTTTGCATCTTGTATCTGTCTTCCTTTACTTTCCATTAGACTAATTAATTTTAATTCTTAAAGTTGGTCTTAATTTGAGAGCCTTGGGGGTACAGTGATATAGCACAGAGCTCTTAATGGTCTTACTGAATGCCAGCTTCATTTTCCAGCAGTTCCTCAGCAGTCCAAGACTACAGTTGGACCATCCCATAAAATTCTTGATGTGCTTTGCTGAAAGTGGGTTTGATCTATATTGAACTTTAACCAAATTATATATATTGAACCTTTAACCTAATTAACTGTCAGTCTGAAGTGAGTTATTTCATGGAAATCATTTGCAGTAACTATATAAATAGCTTTTATGAATTTATGCCCTCCTAGAGAACTTGTTTCAGAGAAAGAAATTTAATTTATACTTGGTATAAATTGCTATTTACATCTGGGAAATAAATAAGTCTTACTTTGGGTGTTGATGCATCATTCTGTAATACTGTCTATATTCAGTGTTTTTTAATTTTAGAACCAGAGGAACACACTTGCAAATAGCAAAATCTAACTCATTAGTCTGACTCATTAATAGTTAGTTAATCATGCTAGATAAACCTGCACTGCAGTGTTACTCCCTTGGCAGAGCATCTTGTCTTGGTTAGACTTTTTAAAGCAAAATATTAATATTTCCATGCAAATAACTGAGTTCAAATATTGGTGACTCATTATTAGTGCAGCTGTACCAAGATGTTTTAGCTCACCATGCTGCAGTCACTAATCCCCCCTTGTCTTTGTTGTGCATTTACACCCAGAGTCCCAAATCCATGCAGGAGTTGGGATTTACGTGGGATTCATGGTCTAAATCCTTTGTCTTCAAAGGCTGCATTCTCTTGGGTCTTTGGGCACCTCAGGCTCACAGACCATCAACCTGGCAGCAGTAAAAGGCTCTGGTCACCTTGGTTTTGCCTTCAGAATTCCTACAAACCCCCTCCTTGGAGCAGTACCCCTGGCTCAGGCCCAGAATCTGAGCTGTGAGTGAGACACTGTGGGCTGTTTGCAGCCCTTACTGTGGCCTTGACCCCTGGCAGATGGGTTGGCCACTGGCACAGCCCAGGCAAGGTGTTCTCGTGGCCTGCCAGCTCTGTGAACCAGCACAGGGAGAATAGTCCTTGGCTCTTCAGGGGAGAAGGAAATGAGTCTGAGAGACTGTACTTGGATTCTTCATCTGTTTCCCTCTGTTTTCTATTCCCTCTTGGAGTATGTCAGTTTCCTGACACATGCAGTATCTTTTCTCTTTTCCTTTCTTGTTTATCCCTGCAGTTCTCCAGTTCCTTGTGTCAACTGTGCTCTGCTTTTAAACAGCACCTGCATTGCCTTTGGCACTTGCTCTGGGAAAGGTCTGACACAGACGAAGATAGAGCATTAATTAAGTTCATTATCTTGCTGGAGCAAGGAATATAGAGGGTAGGAAGAGAATGTGTCCTGGATTTCAGCAGGAGCCTTCAGAGGCCTTTATTGTTTCATGGCAAAACTTCAGAGCTTGTAGTGCATCAGCCTCTGAATTATGCAGGTCTCTCCACTTGGTTCCAGTTCCTGGCTCATGTGTATGAACTCGTGCTTGGGTATTTTGGGGACAGGACGGACACTGCCACACCCAGGGACACGGTTCCTGTGGGCAACAGGATGTGGCTTGGGTTACCTGTCTGCTTCTTGTAGAACAGGGTCTGACTTGTGGAGCTTTTACTGAAAGTTTTTGTCATGCTGAGGCTCCGGTTTGGGGTTATCTCGTGTTGCCGGGGCACAGAGCCCTGAGTGCAGCATTTGTGACAGAGCAAAATGGCTAAAATTAACTTTCTAAACCCACAGTAGTTTCTGGCAACTGATCCAAGACACCCTGGGGTAAAGAAGAGAACAGGACTTGGGAGATTTTGGCTGCAGGTTTATTTAACTCTTACTTTTCCATCCTGTTAAAAGGAAGAAACCCCAGCCTTTTAAAGAAAGCTCATTAAAACATAAAGTTCCTTTTTGTCATTATGTGTAATAAAGTAGAATGTTTGAAGGCATGTAAACTTGTCTGTTTGTGTCAGACTGACCCAAAAGATCTCTTGGAAGAAAAAAAATTATTTGCTTCAAAGGCACGTGACAAAGAGTTTGAATGAAATTAAATCAGAAACCAGATTTTTCCATATGGTTGTTGTGATTAAGAAGAGTGTAAGTTAACAAGTTGCTTTTTTTTACGAACAACAGACTTTGAAATGTTTTTTAGCTATTATAAAATAAGAATTCAGTGATTTCTTGCCTGAGCAGCCTTCTGTGGCTTACGTGCACACCACGCCTGGCTTACCTTCGGGCTGGGAGGAGCGCAAGGATGCCAAGGGCCGGACCTACTACGTCAACCACAACAACCGGACCACAACGTGGACACGGCCCATCATGCAGGTACCGTGCTGCATCCAGGGGGAAAGCACTTGGCTTGGCTAGGGGTCATTTCAGTTGGAGCAGCTTCCAGAAATCTGAAATTTAAAGGAAAAACCCTAAGCATTGTCACGACAATACAGATGAATCATAAAAAGCTGCAACAGTTTAGGATGGTTTTGGTTACTTCTTTTAGTTATGTCAAGGCACAGGTTAAGGTGATTGCTGCTAGGGCATGAACTTCCAGAGGTGCAGAAGAGCTCTTAAAAGGAGGCGAATGTGTTCTTTGGAGTGAATTTGAAAGTTGGCTTGAGCCATTAATAGAACCAGACATTCTTGGCCCTTCCCGTGGAATTACATTGAATACCTGGCCTTTAAGGAAATAGGGTTAAGAAGAGCAGTAGTGATGATAACAATGACATCAGCTTGAACATGTCCTACTCATGGGCAGCGTTTGTGACCTGGCTTTGCTCTGGCACAGCTCGCCGAGGATGGGATGGTGGGGCCGGGCACGAGCAGCAGCAACCACCTGAGCGAGCCACAGATCCGGCGGCCCCGCAGCCTCAGCTCCCCCACTGTCACCCTGTCAGCACCGCTCGAGGTGAGCCCCTCCCGCAGCCACTCCTCACTCCTTGTCCTTCAAACAGGGGCTGCACTTCTTTCTAAGTAATTCCAAATGCTGTGGACTGATGTCTGCTGTGACGTGACTAAAGAATAGCTGAAGTGGCTCCTTACACAGTCGGAGCCTGTGTGTGTTTGACTTCGGATGGTGTGATTCAAACTCTTGCCTCAGCTACTCAGGGCTGTGCTGAGGAGAGCTAGCTCTTCAGATTTCCTCTTCATGCTTAAGAGTTTGAAGAGCTGTGGCTCACACAGCCTTGCACTTAAAGGCATTTTTGTAAATGAGACACCCTGCCCCTGAAGCACAAAACACTGCTTTTTGTCTTTTCCTTAGTAAAATGAAATATGGACACGTGCAGGGCGGGTGCAGGGGAAGGTACAATCAGGTGTAAATCCTGGGGACATTGTCATTGCAGAGGAAGGCACAGAACACCATGTCCTTCACAGCAAAAGACTGGGTGTGTTAGAAGGCACAGATAGAGCTAATTATGTTCTAGTAAATCAGTCCCAGCATTGAATTGTAGTATTAATTACATCTGGAATGAAAAGCTGTTTGCTGTGAGGCCAGACTGGGTTGGTTTTGCAGCCCCGAGTGCCGTGTGAGCAGTGGTGCTGTTTCCTGCTCCGCAGGGCATGAAGGACTCTCCGGTGCGCAGGGCAGTGAAGGACACTCTCTCCAACCCTCAGTCCCCGCAGCCGTCCCCCTACAACTCCCCCAAGCCCCAGCACAAGGGGGCCCAGAGCTTCCTGCCCCCGGGCTGGGAGATGCGCATCGCCCCGAACGGCCGCCCCTTCTTCATCGACCACAACACCAAGACCACCACGTGGGTAAGTGCTCCAGCCGAGGCACCAGGGCCGTGCTCCCGTCTCTGTCCTCCTGCCTGTGTGCCCCCATGTCACCCCATTCCAGCATGGCACTTGTCTTTGTGCTTTTGAGAGCCAAAAATGTGCGTGTGGATGTAAAAGCCCTTGTGGAATGCAGGCATCCTGAGAACAGGTGTGTGGCTTTTGAAGCACATCCCTGGACGTAGCACACACACATTTAATGGTGTCAGGTCTTACATCACCCTAACTCACTCAGCACCAGAAAATTCACTGCACTGTAGGAATCCTAATAAGACATGTTTTGTTCTACTCTCCAAAAGGAATAGCTGTAGCGTAGGAGGATTTCTACATCAGTGTGTGCTTGACTTTGTCGATCTGCCTTGATCCTTTGGATTTACAGTTGCATACTGTGTGTGTATCCTGTGTTCCAGGAGGATCCACGGCTGAAGTTTCCAGTGCATTTGAGATCCAAAGCATCTCTGAACCCCAATGACTTGGGCCCTCTTCCTGTAAGTGATGCTGTACCTGCATTCTGACCTAACCTTCTGTCCCAGGGCTCTGCTCTCTTCTGGACACAGCCCTTGTTGGAGGCTCTGGAGCCCTGCTGTGTGCTGGGGCTTGCTCAGGCCCTCCAGAGCCAGCCCAGGAGGCTGTGATGGCCTTTGTCTGTTCTACTGGAGTGCTGAGCTTTGCACCCCTTACCTGGGCTATGTCTCTGACTGTGCTTTTAGATAATCATTTACTGTTTGGGAAAAGCAGAGCAGATTGTGCCAAGCAAGCTCTTATCAGTGCACCAGCATGTTCTAACATTTAGAAATTGGAATAAATTTTGATTTTTCAATGAAACCCCCATATTTTGCAGAGCAAATCATCAGTTTAATGTCAGAAGCTTTGTTATACTTGCAATCAAGGTATAATGGGGATTTACAGACATGTCAAATGCAGAGCTTTGCTTTGTTTTTAAAAATACCCCCAGACCTTAAAGGCAGAAAGTAACGTGTGAAAGCTGCCACATGCCTGGTCACAGCAGCAGGAATGCTCTTTGGCTTTAGGAAACACTGTGCTTTTGCAGTTGTCCAGGTACATGGGGCGTGTGCTCACCTTGGAGGCACTGAAGGGCCAGTTACTATTCGTTCTGTTAACTGCAAGGGGTGGAACCAGGGTAGCCTGACTTGTCACTAGCAACAGATCGTTAGTAACAGATTTCACCTCAGTTAAACCTCCTGGTTTGGATTGAGGCTGGGATGACTACAGAATTTAACACGAGTTTCTCCAACAAGATTGAAGTGAAATAATTTCTCCTCTGTATTTTCTGGCAGGCCAGGCTGGCCAGCATTGCCTACAGCCTGCCATCCGCTCTCCTTTCTGCACTGCAGGCGCTTGGGACATGAGAAAAGGGAACGGATGAAAAGGGAAGCCCTGAGGACTAGGTTAGGACATTCTTGTCCCACTGTACAGGGAGCCTGGGTTACACATTTACAGTAAATAACCCACATGGCTTTCAGAAGTAGGAGCAGAAACTTTCAAACTAAGCCACGATGGACCATCTGTTCTCTGTGATTGTTTGCCCACAGCAGGAAATGGGTGGGAATCCTGAGGCAAGAGGTTTCCACTTCCAAGCTTTAGAAAATATTCCCTGCACAGGATTCAGTTACCTCTATATGATCTAAATCTGAGTCTGCCTTGATTTCTGGCCTTGCCATTATGCATCTGGTCACTTGGGGTTTCCTGCCTCGTAAGCATCTTTGAGACAAGTCCAGTAGGTGTGGACAGTGCTCTGCTTCAGGCTGTGTGAGACTGGTACTGCTTCACTTACGCTCTCTTTTCTTTGTTTTTATTTCCCATTTCCAGCCTGGCTGGGAGGAAAGAATACACCTGGATGGAAGAACGTTTTATATAGACCATAGTAAGTAAGCACTCAGGCACTAGAGCAAATAGACAAAGGGAGGTACTAAGTATTGAAGTGAAAGCTTTGTGATTTTACTCTTCATTTAGGAAGCCAGGTGTTGATATGTGGAGACATTGATACCAGAGACTTAGTGCCCTCCTACGGTACTGTACATTCACTGGAAGCTTGCTTTAATTGGCTCATCAAGCTTTGTCCCTCTCTGACTTGTGAAGCATTAACATTTCCTCTCTGTGGTTTCTTTTGTTCTTGTTGATATTTTGGAGTTGTTGTTGTTGTTGTTGATGATCCCATGGCTTATTTGCACTTAATAAATTAAAATATACACTAGGAATAGAAAATAAGATGAGAAAAGATCCTGTAGCCACAGCTCCACATATAGGCAGTGGAGCAATTAGCACTGAGAAGTACTTTCCTCTGCTTTCAGGTCTGTGGCAGTGCTGATTCTGATCTTATTTCCTATTTAGAGCATGTGAAACTGCACCAGCCCATTAATATTCTCCAGTTCTGTTAGTGGAGTTTTAGTGTAAGTGATGTTTCATTGTAGATTTGTCTTCCTAGAGCATCTCAGAACTGCTGTGTGAGTTTTGTTGGTGTTTGGAAACAAAGCCACCCACAAAGGCTGGCCTGGGTCTTCTTATTTTTATTTTTTTTTTTGTTTGTTTGGATTTTTTTTTTTTTTTTTGAGATTTTAAGACTTATACTGAGACATTTCTTTACAGCCATTACTACCTCTCATAACCATCAGAGGAGGGTGCACAGAGAGTTAAAACCTAAACTTAGCCATGTGTGACAGAATTAGGTTTGTCCCTCAGTTTCACTGACTCCCACGCTCATCCATAGAGATGACAGTGTTAAGTCATTATTAAACGACTGCCTTTAAAGTAATAACAGTTTTGAAATGGTATAAATACTTTTAACTAAACATTGGAAATACACTTGTCAAGCACCCGATGAACCTCTTCCAAACTTCAGTACAGAGTTATCCTTTATCCCTTCCGTAATTGTTTTTCCCAGCAGAGATCTGGAAATGTAACTATGGCCATTGATTTTAAACTGCTGCCACTAAGGAGTCACAGGATAAAACTGTCCCATTTAAAACACCTGTGTAACTGCTGGGCCTTCCAATCTCTCTTAAAAGTCTTTAATTTTTTAGTCTCCTGAAGCTATTTGAGCATGTGTTAGTCCCTAAAGTGGAATGTTAAAGTCATACATTAATTAGACTTCCTCAAAGAATTTGTAACTGTTAACGAAGCAAAATTTATGTGCATCTGAATTCTCCCTCTAGCCTCTTCTGATCTGAGTGGATTTAGCTTCTCATATAGCATTTTTCACAGAAGTTTAGGGAAGCTTTTGGTAATGCTGCCTGTTTCCAGCAGATGTCCCTTTGGTCTCAGCCTGGTGCCTGAGCACTGCTGGGCTGGGGGGCCTGGAGGGCCAGGAGCTGTGCCACTGCCAGGACACAAAACCAGCAGGACAAGTCTGACAGAGTCAGCTGCTGGTCGTGTCCTGCTTCCCTGCTACGTTTTGTACCTCTGCTGCACAGAGTACTCTCCAGTGCTGTTTGTCCTATTTTGGAAATGTTTCTCTCGTCTTCGGGAGAAACTGCAGAATTCCCCTGCAGCCAGCACAGCCTCTCTGCTGTTCCACAGGGACCAGAAGCACTGAGAGCAGCACACAGGTGTTACTGGTACCAGAGGGGTTCACTGTGTGTGACAGTGAGCCCCTTTCCCTGGCTCTCTGGGCCCTCAGCTGCCCCTGTACCTTACCTTCCGTGGGCACCCTGGTGTTCCCTGCACACTGCTGCCGTTCCTGGGAGCCTCTCTTCTACCTGGTGGAGGGGATCACAAGGAAAAACAACCATTCTGCAACCATTTTCTGAACTGTTACCAGGGATTCACAGACAAGGGGGTTCAACAATTCAACAATACATTGAATGGGTTCCCCTCAGAGTCTGCCCACATCCACCAGCACATGCCGGTAGTCTCAATATGCATCAGTGATTTACACAAGGAGCTAGGGGGAAGCACTCCTTAGTTCAGCAGGAAGCAGCAAGGCAGGAGAGGGGTTTGCTGGAATGGGATGGGGAGTGAGGGTGAGGCTGGCAAATGGCCACTGCAGAGTGCAGGAAGAGGATTTGTGAAGAGAACTGCAAAGTGTTACTCAGAATGGGAATAATTAGCAGAATTTTGGTTGAAAAGGGCATGAAAAATGCCATCACCTGGTCATGAGTTATCTCACCCTGTGATATATTGACAGGAGTGCCTAAATCCAACCCTTCTGATGCCATCAGTGCTGGGAATGTCTGGCTGTGAGAGTTCTGTATCTGGCAGGGGGTCCCAAACTTCAGGGGAATAGGGGGCCCCTTGGAAGGGCAGGGAGAAGAGGGAATCCTCAAAGGCCTGAGAGCCTGCTTTATGACAGAGAATTGTATTGGTGGGAAGACTCAAATCTTTGAAATTTTTAAAAATGTTGAGACTTTTGAAAATGTTCTTCAAAAATAATGTTTGTTATCCATGTCCACTTGAGATAAGACAAATAATCCTGAGCTACAGTTCCAGGTGGAGTTGTTCATGCCAGACCATTTTTAATATGAAGTCCCTGTAAGACTCTGAAAATAAACTTAGGCTGAGATTCGTTGGTGTTGTCGTGCACTCAGAAGTACAGACAGCAAAGAGCTGATACACTGTCAGTCATTTCCAGTTGTGTTACCTCTGATTTCACAGAAAACTGGCACTGTGATTTGTGGCTGCTGGTGTCAAGAAGTGACCAGAGAACTTTGTGGAAGGGAATTCCAGTGTAGGGGTTGAAAATGGAAAGGGCTGGGCTGGGTGGTCCCGCCTTGGCAGCATCTCTGGGGTCTCTGGAGCTCAGGCTGGCAGCCCTCCAGCATTCCCATAAGTGATCAATAGCTTTAATGTGTGAAGGCAAGTAAACTAATATTTTACTATTAAGTTAACTAATAGATCAAATGTCTTGAAATGTGCTTGCAATCCTTCAGAATTTTCTCCATTTAACATTTGCTTAATGGCACCTTTCAGATTCAGTCCCTGTTAAACCAGCTTGGGATCCTCAAAACTTACAGGGCTTTTTCAGTTCTAGAAACATGGAAAATGCAATCTTGATTCCTGATACCCAGTCCCTAACCCAGAGCAGTGTCAGTAACAGAGGGATGGCAGGCCATGGGTGACCAACACCTCGCCAAAGCAGGTGGCACCTGGGACGGGGTTTGGAGCATTGTCTTATTGTTGCAACACCATTGTTCTGTTGTGATTCCGTCGTGTTCAGAATCCCGAGAGGAGCAGCTGTCTTAGAGGCAGGGGAGTCCCACCATGGTCCTGTAGAACCTTCCCTGTCATCCTCCTGGTGCTCCTCAAAGCTGTAGATGGAAAGCAGCTCCCTTAGTCACAACTGGGTGGTTCTCTTGCACCAGAACAGGACAGTTCTGCCTCCCTTTACCTTCTCATTAAATCAGTCTAGGAAAAATGCTATTCCCTCCAAGTTTAGAAGTATGATACTTCAGCTGTCTATGCAAAATTTCCAAGCAGTAACCTGGGGTGTCATTGCCAAAAGTTTGGGGCTCCTTTACCAGTTGGGCCGTGTATCTCCAATCCCAGCCCATGTTCAAATGAACATGTTCGCCCACTCGTGCAGATGTTGCCATCAAAGCAGTGCAAATTCCCTGGGTTCTGGGGTAGTTCTGTGTTTTTGAGTGAATGTTTTCAACTAAACAGTGTGTTGGGGCTGGGGAGGGTGGGGAGACACAAGCGTTTGCTAACCCTGACAGAGCTGAGCAGTGCTAGGGAGAAAAAACTGACAGAAATTCACAGTGTGCTACCAGAGAAACCATGGGATTGTTTCTTTTGTTATTTGCAGATAATAAAATTACGCAGTGGGAAGACCCCAGGCTGCAGAACCCAGCCATCACGGGCCCAGTAAGTAGTGCTATGGGACTTCCATTAAATGCCCATTAAACTGCTTCCATTAAATGCTACCTGCCCCCTACATCAGGGGTGGGCAGCCTGGGAGGAGCAGGAGCTCTGCTGGTCCACATCCTAAGTCAGAAGCTGGGAATGTCACACCAAGTTCAGGGCAGCCTTCCCAGATTGTTCAGGGTTTGGGGAGGCCCATGGAGAAGTGCTCCTATTTACCCATTACCTGGGTCGTTACTGACAGTAGGACTTTACTGAGCTGACACATTGTTCTGTTTATTTGGGAACTCTGGACAACGAAAATCTCTTTACACTTGGGAGGAGAGAGGTGGGCCTATGTGGATTCAAAGTGTGAAAAAAAAAAATAGACAAAAATGGATCTGTCAGTTTAAGAGACATAAAACCTGCAGGTAAACAGAGGTTTCAGAATATCAGCCTTAGAAAGATACAAACACAGCATTTTACTTCTATCAAATTTTAAAAATATCAAAGAGTGATTCTTTGACTTTTTATGATGGTTTTATGCTGGATTATACCAGTTTATGGTAATTCTGAGTGATCAGACTTCCAATCCCAAGATGTTTCCTGTACCTTTTTATTCTGGGTAAATCCTTGGGACCTTTAAGAGTTTCAGGACAAAGGAGATGAGCCTGCTGCACGGTGTAATTCCAATTGCTTAGTAAGAATATCAGTAATAGTCACTTGTTTGACCATGGTTGTTTTTAGGGGGATTTACCCATTTTTCAGACATTTAAAACTAGAGATCCTCACACACAGCACTGTGCCAAATGTTAATAGGCCTCTCCCCAGAAGTGCTGAGCATAAATGAGACACTGTTTGAGAAAGTTTGTTTGAAGGAAATGAAATGCTCATGGTCCCTTGAGTGACTGACAGTGGTTCATTTGTTGGTTTTTAAGGGAAAGCAGGAGCTAATCCATTTCATGGAAGCACTATGGATTCATCTGAATGTTTTCAATAGTAATATTTCTGGTGCCATGAAAAACAGAATTACTTAAATTGCACTTCGTGTTGGTTTTAAATAAAGGAAACATGTAGAAAGATTATTTAACAGCTGTAGTAAAGTCATGTTACCTTCAGCGTAAAATGCTATCATTTGGGGGATTTTTAGATCTCTCCTGGCTGCTGTCCCTCATGGGTGGGTTTAGGGGAGCCCATAGCACAATGTGTGGGTAGCAGGGCTGTTAACCCTTTTTAACACCGTGGGGTATCAGCAGAGTGGCTGGAATGATGTGTCCCATTTGCTCCTAACAGGCAGTGCCGTACTCCAGGGAGTTCAAGCAGAAGTACGACTATTTCCGCAAGAAGTTAAAGAAACCTGTGAGTAGAACCAGCACAGGGGGGCTGCAGGACACACCGGCCAGGTTACTCCATTGTGCTGCTCCTGAAGGGCTCATGTGGGAACCAAAAATACAAAGCAAAGTCTGAATTTGATGGGTTTCTCAACGAGAAGCTTTTTAAAGTCTTTAAGACTCATATTTTTCTAGATAAATGCAAATGCCCTTAAAATAGAGCACAGTCTATCTTTCTCCTTTTTTGTTTTGTTTGTTTGATACTTTTCTTGTCGTTTTCATCAAATATTTATCATAGAAGTCTGCAGCACTGTTCTGGAACTGGCCCGGTTCCTGCCATGCTCTCAACCTGTGGGCTGTGAGAGCACTGGGAAGTGAAAACACGGGGAGCTGGAACACCAGATGTCTGATCTGTCACTGAGTCAGTAATTTGCCCAAAGACTTACTTCTTGAGACTAACAAGGATAATCTCATCTTCTTTGACACAGGCTGACATACCCAACAGATTTGAGATGAAATTACACAGAAATAACATTTTTGAGGAGTCCTACAGAAGAATCATGTCTGTGAAGAGACCTGATGTACTAAAAGCCAGACTCTGGATTGAATTTGAGTCAGAAAAAGGACTTGACTATGGAGGTGTGGCCAGAGAATGGTTTTTTCTCTTGTCCAAGGAGATGTTTAACCCTTACTATGGTCTCTTTGAATACTCAGCAACGTAAGTGTCCATTAATATTTGTTTTCTCAAGGGATATACATTACATTTTGCATAAGAGGCAAAGCTGCTCTGGGCAGAAGCAGCTCCTCTCATTCCCAGGGTGCCCTGGGCAGCCCCACTGTCCTGTTCCTGCTGCCCTTCAGAGAGCCTCTGTAATTGTCCTTGAGGACCCAGAAAACATTTCCATTGCTCAGACAATATCCAGGGCAGCAAAACTGCAGTTTTTGAGGCCTGTAATGGTGAAGGGACCAATGTCACAGAAAAGCCTCTTTCCTCTGCTGCCCAGAGTTGCAGCAGTGCTGTAGAGCAAGCTCGGAACGCAGCTGCCCGTTCACACTGCGGGAGCTCCCTTTAAACTGGGGGGTGCCCAGCTTTAAAACCCTGGGGTAATCCACTAGTGCAAGGGAGAGAGGGCATCTCTTGCTCACAGTGGGTTTGGTTTGCTGCTGTGTCAGCCCTCGGTGCCTCCGTGGTGGGACAGACTGGAAAGGACTTGGACACAGCTCCACAATGCCATTGGAGGGAGATGCCCCAAGCACAAGTTATTTATTAACGTATCTGAGTATCTGCTTATTTAAAGACTTGGTTCTTTAGCTGTTTTTTTTTCTTTCCCCAAAAAAGGGACAACTATACACTTCAGATTAATCCTAATTCAGGTCTCTGTAACGAAGACCATCTGTCGTACTTCACGTTCATTGGCCGGGTTGCCGGCCTGGCCGTGTACCACGGGAAGCTGCTGGACGGTGAGTCCTGCTCTGCTGCTGCCACTGCGCTTTGGGGAAGGAAATGCACCTGCTTGAGAGCCCCAGCTTCTGGGGACAGTCTAGGACTGACACTGTTGAGACTTGAATGGTGATCCACAAAATCATACAAAGTTTTGCTCCTTTCTCCACTCAAGTTGAAACTCCAGAACCAGCACGAACACTGTCCCCAGAGGAAAAGCATGGAATTTGTATCAGACATTTCCATACAAACCTGCAGCCAAACTAAGGGGTCAACTGCAGCATATTTTGATATGTAAAATTATTGCTGAATGATTTAATTATAATTTCTGCTGCTTCATTTTGAAATCTCACACCAGGCAGACATTACTGACCAGATTTTCCTGAGCCCTGGTGCAGCAAAAGAAGCAGAGGAGTCCTGAGCAGAGGAAGCTCACCAGCCTGCTTTTCAGGCAATTCCTTGGAGAGAGGAGTAGTGATTTTACATGGGATAGAGTGCCCTGAGCTCAATTCCCCAGCTTTTGGCTCTCTCTGCCATTAATGTTAGGGTGGTCAGTGGAGTATGGCAGTTGGCGGATAATTGTTGAAACTGAAAAACTGGACCTTCTGTGCCTAAATACCCCCGAGCTGCTTTGATGCTGTTGCAGTTGCAGGACTGTTACAGTCAGGAGGTAACAGGAAATGCCAAGGGTGGTGGCTCCAAGCAGTTGTACCTTCATGGAATGTGCAGGTGCAGAGCAGGTAACGCTCTCCTCTTTCACAGGCTTCTTCATCAGACCTTTCTACAAGATGATGCTGGGGAAGCCCATAACTCTGAAGGACATGGAGTCAGTGGTAAGACCCCATTTAACCTGTGCCAGTGCTCACAGACCCATGGGTTTCTACAGCTCTGCACTAATTGCCTGTTTTCAAATTGCCTAATTGTGATCTGCCCTAGGATAGCGAATACTACAACTCTCTGAAGTGGATCCTGGAAAATGACCCTACGGAGCTGGATCTCATGTTTTGCATAGATGAGGAAAACTTTGGACAGGTATGTAAAGGTTATTTACATCTTAGGACTGGTTACTGCCAACAAGTACCTCAGCACTGAGCAGAGTCTCGTGGTGGCGAATGCACTGATCAGCCTTCAGCTCGCTGTGTTCCCAGCTGGGACTGGGGGTGCCACGTTCCTGTCAGGGAGCCGCGACGTCTCTGCGACAAGCTGGATACACAGCTGAATAAAATACTTGCAACGAGGAGAAATAAAGGTGTGCCACAGTCCAGCTGGGACATGGTCTGAGCCCAGGGACTGTTTGGGTTTCCCAGGTTGAAGGTGTTCGCAGAGGAGAGCGGCAGAATGACCAGGGAGGTCCTCTCTGCAGTGCCTGTCACAGAAACAGCTGGTACAGCAGGGGGAAGCTGCCAGGTTTCATAGCATCACAGTCCATTACAAATGAAAATGTTGTAGACATTAAATTAATTTGCTTAGAAGTTTTTATGTCCTTTATGACCTTTTATGACCTTTTCTAGTGTCTTCCCTTTGTTTGCTTCTGAGAGCTAGATCCTGGCTCCAGGTGCAACTTGACCTGGGGACTATAGAGCCTTTTATAAAAACTGACTGAAACATTTCAAACCATGCACTCAAAGTCATTTCCAAAACATTCTGATCCACTTTCCAGTGCTTACTGCCTTTTTCCTGAAGCAATATAAAGTTATGGATTACATGGAGAAAGTATTACATAGGGAAAGTATTGAAGCCACAGATTAGAGAGGTTTTGTAATACACTGGTTGGCTTTGGGCAGTTTCAATATGTGATTTAGCTTCTTTTATTATAAACAGTAACTATTAAAATTTTGTACATAGAGAGTACATATTTTTGGTTATATTTTATATAAATATATAATTTCATTATTATAAATAATAATTTTAATTATTATATGGTCCCTCTTTGTCAGTTTTCCCTTCTGTGCAAGTTTGTTCAAAAGTGTAAATCAATTTGCTTATGATTTCCTGATACTGCTTGTAAAATGCTGCTCAGGGAGAGTGGCTTCTGGGAGAAAGAAGTCCTCAAATAACAGGTTTTTTTGGTCTTCTGAAATACAGACATATCAAGTGGACCTGAAGCCCAATGGGTCCGAAATCATGGTAACAAATGAAAACAAGCGGGAATACATTGAGTAAGTATCATTATGGAATATGCCTTGGCATAAGAAAGAGCAGTTGTAGTTACAATTGACCCTGCTGCAATTCCTAAACTTTGTACTGCACAAGAGCAGCAGAGATCATTTGAAAAAAAAAAAAAGAATCTTACTGTTAATATTGGTTATATTGGTGAGATATAAGAACAAAGAGTAAATTAAATTACATGCTTTGTTCTCCTGAAATTCCTCCCCATGGAAACATGCTTCTCTAACATCTAGCTCAGATGAGCCAGAAGATGCTCTCCAGCCTGGCCCTCATCCCATTGTCCTCCTCTGCCAGTCACAGACCAGAGCCAAGATTCCATTGCCAGTGCTCCTACCAAAAATTGGCCAAATCTGAATTTAGGTGTAATTTTCAGCTTTCTCAGTTCTTCTGCCTACCAGGATGTAAAATGCAAAATTCACTTATACCTGCTGCAATTTAAATCAGGGTCTTTTCCAAGGTGAAAGACATTAAAATTGCTACATTCATGCAGATTGGTAATTCATTTCCAATGCCTGGATCTGGACCAATTCCATGCCTGGAATTGATTTTTTATGCCTGCACCTGTGAGGTGTTTGTGCTGTGGGTGGCTGGTACTGAAAGCAAGGTGCCCCTTTGATGCTGCAGTGTATTTCTTTATTTATAGGCGAGGTGCTGTGTCCTGACAGCTCTCCTCAGAGCTTGCAGACTTTGCTGGGAATTTTTAATTACTCAGTGCTCTGGAAGAATAAAATGTCTGCTCACGTAGGTACCTACAGGAGTGAAAATATTCCCACTGTGATTTGGTCATAGTCACTGGGGTTTTTGGTTTGTTTCTCCAAAATTCACTCAAGTCACCAGCCAATAAATTGGATCAACTGGTGAAAGCTGCTCAGTTACCTGAACTTGCTGAAATTGTAAATGACAAACTGAAAGCACTTGGGGTTGCTGAAACCTCTGAACACTTGGCTGAGACCTGGTAATGAGTTTGTTTTTCTGATGGGCTTTTGTTTCTTTCTGCAGCCTGGTCATCCAGTGGCGGTTTGTCAACAGAGTGCAGAAACAAATGAATGCCTTTCTGGAGGTGAGGTTCTTGAGCTCCTTTCTTTCACAAAAATAGGGATTTTTTTTCTAACACAGATTTCTTAACTCACTGCTGTGTCTGTAAAGGGAGCTTGGCACAGAATGCAAATATAATACTTAATGTTTTATGATTTTACAGTTTTATCTTGTGTAAGAATATATCATCTTTCCCTTATGAGAATAAGGTCATTCTCTTTCAAGTTTAATTATTTGAGCTTGAAGGAATTTGGTCATTGATGTTTTTAATTAGAATTTATGTGGAATGAGAGTTTTAACTTTGCTCTTCTTTTTAGGGATTCACAGAACTGCTTCCTATTGATCTGATTAAAATTTTTGATGAAAATGAACTAGAGGTGAGTCAATTTGGTGCTCCAAGCTGACAGTTCTCTGACAGATGTGCCATGCTCTGGGCTCTTCAGTTATCCATCCCTCTCCCTTAGGGAATGTGCAGACACAGCTGCCTTGCTCAGAGTTGGAAATCAGATGTTTCTTCCTAATTAATAAATCTATTCATGATGTGCAAAGAACTGTAGTTACTCGGGGAGGTGGTTGGGGGTGTGCCTCTGAAAGCCTGGAAGTAGCTTGGTGGGTCAGTGCCAGTCACATTTGAGGCAAACACATGGAAGTTGCTGTCCCATGGTGTCAGTGTGCAGCCGTTCTCCAGTAGCTGGAACACTGTGGGAAGAAACTCGGACTCTCCCCTCCCTGTGTGCATAAATGACCAAAGGGGCAGTGACACCTTGTTACCCTGTGAGAGCAGGGAAACACACACTCCTTCACATCCCACCGTTCTGCTTCCCTGCAGTTACTGATGTGTGGCCTTGGTGACGTCGATGTCAATGACTGGAGACAACACACCATCTACAAAAATGGTTACTGCCCAAATCATCCCGTTATCCAGTGGTTCTGGAAGGTAAGACTGGGTACCACCTCTGACTGGTCCTGTAAGTCAAAGTTATTGCCCCTTTTTTGCAATTATTTTTCTTCATGAAAACTGCTAAGAATGAGGAGGGTGTTATGCTGGGGGCAGGATCTGCTGTCACCTCACTCAGGTGCCAGAGCAGCCCACAGATGCTACCTGGAGCAGAGACAATCCACTCTGTGCCAAAGGTTGGCTCATACAAAAGGTCATTCATGCTGGCTTTGGGCTGCTCTTCAGCCCAGCCCATCCAGGCCAGGGTAGGAGGCTGAGGCCAGTGGTGTCCATTTGCCAACAGGCTGTTCTGCTGATGGATGCTGAGAAACGGATCCGGCTCCTGCAGTTTGTGACCGGGACATCACGTGTGCCTATGAACGGATTTGCTGAACTTTATGGTGAGCTGCTCGTGGCATGATGGGAATCCAGCCAACCTCTGACCCCCACGTAGCCCTGAGTTTTAAATGCTGATGTCTGAGCTCACTTCCTTGGCATTACCAAGCTCTGAAACCAACTCACAGGGCTTGGAAAGAAAGAACCGCATTCGTATTGCTTTAATGTACCTGTAACGGGTGAAAAATCCGGCCCACAATTGATGCCAACATTTCATGTCAAAAATAATCTTTAGGCAGTTTCTGCAGTGTCCAGCAATTTGTTTCATACGGTTTTCATTTTCACCCAGGTTCAAATGGTCCTCAGCTGTTTACAATAGAGCAGTGGGGGAGTCCTGATAAGCTGCCCCGAGCTCACACCTGGTAAGTCACCAAAGCATAAATTCCAGAGCTGCCCACACTCAGCTCTGCATCAAACAGCATTTGATCCTGTGGGTCCCCAGTGCCTTCACAAACTGAGAAACTGAAGGATATTAGTTTATTTCCTACATCCTAGTAAATGGATGTAATGAACTACAGCAAGTCAGACATCACCAAACAGCCACACAAAGCCCATAAATCAATGGAGAATACAAAACAAATGTAAGGTTATAATTTAACCCTGGTTTATAGATTTTGCAAACGTGGAAAGCATTCAGCACAAATTTATCTTGCTCTCTTACATTTCAGGAATGTGGCCTTTCAAAGAAAAATTGTGCTGAATTGGAAAACTATTATATAGACTATCAGTACAGACTGGGGATCTCTCTGTGAAACTAATCATTCTATAGAATAATGAGCTTTAATAAAAGAAAAACAAACCTGAAGACAAAAGCACAAAACCCACCAAACAAAATCACAATACTACCCTGAACACACTCCAAAATCAGCCCATCCTCTTTGGGTTCCAGTTCTCTGCTAGTTTTTACCCTTTTACCTTTGAAAGATTTTCTCTTGGATGTTTCATCTCTTCCCCTCAGAGAGCAAAGGGTCTGTCCTCTAAATCCAGAATATTTTTGCTGTGCCTCAAGAAATCAGTCTTTTGACAAAGATTGTTTTCTATCATCTAAATGTAGTGAGGGGTTTTCTGTTGGCTTTTTTCCCCTCTCCTAAGTGATTTTTACCAAATTCCTGCTTCCAGCTTTGCAAAGGAAGGCAGCACACAGTTACTGGAGAGCTCACCTTGGGCAGGTGTGAGGTGTGCAGGGAACTCTGTGGACCACAAGCTGCATTCTTAATCCGAGACCCCTAATAGTTTCATCTTTTCTAGTTCTTTAAAACTCTTATTTTCCCACGGATTATTGACTCTTTCCTTGTCCCTTCCAGCTTTAACCGCCTAGACTTACCTCTGTATGAATCTTTTGAAGACCTGCGGGAGAAGCTCCTCATGGCCGTGGAGAATGCCCAAGGGTTTGAAGGGGTGGATTAACTTTGCAGGAGCCGTTCCCTCTCCAAGCATGTTTTGCTGGCTTTGGCACCTGCCCGAGGGACTCCAAGGGACTGTGGCATAGCAGTTGCCCAGCGCTGGGCTCTGGAGCAAACCCTGGCAGCGCAGGGGCCGAGCCCCAAGGCTGGGACTGTCACCTGGGGTGGCCTTGCTGATGTTCCCGCAGCAGTTGCGAACTGATCACATTTCAGCAGGACTTACTCTATTTATGTTGTGCCTCTGTAGGCAAAGCCCTTAATAAATATTTTACACAATTTCTAATGACAATGAATGGAATTAATCATTTTACAGGTATAGTATTACAACTCATGTTTACTTCTTAATTGCTTTAGACATTTTCAGATTTTATTTCATTACAATTAAATATCATATACTTGGAAAAAATGAGCATTTTTCTTAATTTCAGACTTTTTTTAAAGCACGTTGAGCCTTGTGTTCCTAAACCATTCAGAGTAGGAGAAAGCGCTGTTGGAAGCTTTCTCTCCATGGGCTGTCTCTCAAAAGCAGCTCTCTTCTTTAAGCACATCACTATTGTTCTGTATCCAGAAGTATGGGCTGGATGTTGCGTTTTTGTATAAGTACTAGAAGAGTGTCAAGGCACAGCAGAGCCCTGGCACAGCATGTCCAGATCTCTGTTCTACCGAAACTGCCTTGTTACTGCCAAGCTGTACATGTGCTACAAAGCATCTGGACTGGGGTTGGCATTAAGCCTTGCAGGAGAACGTGCTGAACCCTGTCATTCTCTCTGTACAGTGATTGGTTTTCCATCCTTTCCTCATTCCTGTTTGCAACGGAGGCGTTCCGAATGAAATCTGGCACTCTGGAACACAGCTCTGTTCTGGCTCCTGTTTGTGTGCACTTGCTAATGAACCTAATTAACACTGGGGCTGTTCATTTCTAATGGCACTGACTCTGAAGGCACTTTCTGTACCACTGGGAAGGCAGACCTGGTTTGAGCATAAACATTAATGGGATTTTACTCCTTCCCACTGCACATGTCCTTCTGGTGCAAGATCTGTCCATGGTGAATTTGGCTGCTGCTGACCCAACCAGCTCTAGACCTGAGCCTGCAGACATGTTCCTCAGCAATTGTTTCTGTGGTTTCTTTTTTACTTACAAAGATTTATTTAATATACACTGCTATCTAATCCATTTTGTTACCTATGACATGTTGCATGCCTAATCTATAATGTCTGAGTTGCTTCTGTTTTGTGGCGGATTAAACGTGACAGATTTGTGCTTGCCCCAGTGCAGTGACATGGTGACAGCACTGCTGGAGCAGGGCTGGTTCAACTGACCACCCTGTTCCCCAGCATCCCAGCAAGGTGACACCACTTGCCAAAAGAAACTTCCACCTCACTGCCAGCAGTTTTTGAGCCCTAGCCTTACCTGTGTGTCCAGCCTGAGTGCAGTCACACTGCAGAGCCTAGGATACAGGATCACCCAGCTGGGAAGAAGCCTTACTGCCAGTAACGCTCAGCAGTTATGGTCCCAGTCTTGAGGAAGATTAAGGTAGTACTTGAATGCAATTCAATATTCCTTCTCTATTAAAGATGCTTCCTGACATTCCTGCCTGACCTTTTCCATCTGTGGAGTGAGCTGGAACACAAGACAGTGGCTGGCATCAGCATAGACAGGAATGCTGGACTGACTTGCTTGGCTCTGGGGATAGGATAGATAAAGCCAGGTGTTCCCACTGACCTGTACATTAAGCACAGCTGATTCTAATATGGAACACTTGGAGACAAGTGTCATACTCCAAAATTTGTTTTCTTTGTCTTTTCCTGGAGGATTTTTGGTGAAGTCTGATGCCTCCATCAGAACATAGGGACTGCTGGGCCTGTTCTGGCTGTGAAACTGCAGTGCCACGTCAGGCACAGAGGAAGGCTGGCACCAGCTGAGGCAGGTTATGTCTAACAATCCACCATTCCTCCTGGTGTGCTCTGTCCTTCCTTTCTCCTAAAACAGGTTCACTAATACTTTCCTATATCAAAGCCTTCTCAGCCCCCTAGAATTACTTGGTACCATCTGACCGCAAGTTTCTGTTGATTGGATTATTTTTCTTTCTTTGTAAAATTAAATCTAGACTAATTGGCTAACCAGCTTCTGAGAGCTGCTCCTCAGCCCAGCCCACAGTCCCCCCAAAAGCGTGACTGGTGATTGCAGCATGGAGGCAAGGCTCACTCCATGAACTGCAGTTACTGAGGAAATCAGCTGTTCCACAGCTTTATTTCTCCTAAGGAAATTTAAATTTACAGCAGAAACCGTCCCCACCCCTCAGACCCCATCTCCCATGATTTTTGGGGTTTCTCCATGAGAATTCCATGCTGATGCTGCACAAAAGCTCCCCGAGCGCTGCTGGGACTGGTGGGGTCCGGGCCCGCGGCGAGACCGTGCACGGCGCCCGGCCGGGGCCACAGCTGGAGCAGGAGGAGCAGCACCGGGCTCGGCTGATGTGGGTCCCGGTCCCGATCCCGGCTCGGTCCGGCGGGCACGGGGAAGGGGTCGGGGTGG